TTTTTTTACCGGCCATGAAACTCTTTTTGCAAAAACAGGCAGTTATTACTACTACAATAAGTAAACATATTTACAATGTTTTTGTCCTGCTGGTGCATTTTCCCTCAATTTTACCTAATAATTATAGCCATTCAACATTACAGTATAATTGAAAGCCATTATTTTTAACATTTAATAGGTTCTGAAATGTATAACAACTTTTAATTTAAGTGATTTTAAAACAATCTTCACATAAACTATATTATATATGCATAAACTATACATATTAATCTTTATTCAAGCTATAAAAGTTAATCAGCGACTAGAACAGTCCAAGGATTTCTCTTTTTCTTGAAAAAGACTGACACACATCCGATTTTCTCCCAACTCTTCACAGTCATTTATAACTCATTTAAGACTCCGTTTACAAGGTATCTCGCCAAAACCGCGCATTTTGACATAATTGTGTGTGTTTTCGTGCGTTGAAGCGCTACTGGTGAGCTGTCTGAAGCAGCTCAGCGTATGTGTACAGCCGAACGCGCAGCCTTTCAAACTATACTTCACTGCACTGTTTAGGCAGCGTAACCCCAGGTATGTGTCGCCGAATTCGGGTTATGAAGAATAAAGAAGGGAAAAGTTAATCTTCCGAAATGAAGCAGCAAAATCTTCTCAGGTAAAAGTTATTAGAACCGTGTCTAGGGACAAGCTGGCCATCGCACTGCTCTGACCTTATCAGTCCATTTGTATCCTATTATTCGATTCGCTCTTGTCGCTTATGACAGAACAGCTAATCATGATGATCTGGTCTTCGGAAAAGATTATTTTATTTGCTTATGTCAGAAACAGCGAATCTCTTTAAAAAAACGGGCTGTTGTTCCCACTAGATTGCATTGTTATAATTCGTAAAAGTTGTACCCGCCAACTGGCGACTGACACTGTTACATGGACTCGCCAACGCTGATTTTTACTCGCATTTGGCGCTTGGCAAGTGTTAATTTTAGGCCCTGTACGTACATCTTCACTTTGTTGTTTATGATGAGAGAATTCACTCAGCGAGCGCGTGCACTGAACAAAACTCTGGCGTTTCAGCGATGACTCATCTGAACGCCTCTGATTGGCCATTTCATTAATAAGCTCAACATACTTGTGTGTGATTGGTTATAATGCGCAACACTGTAAAAACGCTTAAAAAGAATCACGGTGCAACATTGAGCAGATCTAAATTTAATGCTGCAGTCAACACTTTTCATTTCATTTATCATTTTATTCGCAACATCCGTAATGGATTTAGTTTAACTGTACAGCAGCCTTTTTGTCCATGTGTGTTGCCATAGCGCGGATATTATGTCATTGATGGGCGACAATGGCGACATTATTTAAAAATGGAATTTCTCTGGATTTACAAACCCTTGGGAACTTTTGGGATAACGTAAGAACACAACTGCATGAAATATATCACACTGTGCAAGTGGTTTTTGGATATTTTATTACAAAAATCGTACATATTGTGCCTTTAAGCAACACTTATTTTGATTTTAGAAAAGGGACTTTGAATGGTGGACCATGTTCCCGAGCTTCATTGCGTGTCATTACATGGGTTTCAATTCTCTCTCAAGCAAATATTAGTCAATTATTCATTCATTCATTTGTCCTTCCGCCTTTGCTACTGTACACAGGACAATAATGAAACTCGCTCGCACTGAGACCAATGAGGAAGAGAGCGGGAGGAACAAACCAAACCATCTACACGTACAAACACTTTGAGCTCAAACAAGCTGTCTGGTATCGAAAGGGCAACAAAGCGTTCCCACGAAAATGATCAGGAAGTTAAAATTGATAAAAAAATAAGAGATTCTGTCAAATGCACAAGGAGGGATTAGTAAACAGACCTGAGAACCTGAGACCAGAAGTAATCATTGAAATGTTCAGATTAGAGCTCACACGACAGCCTCAAGACCGACAGAGTAGAAAGTACACTTGGTCTGCTGTGAAAGCAAATATATTATCAACCATATAGTAAAAATATTGCACTAATTTTAATTGGTTTTTACTTGTTTTTTATATACTACCATTCAAAAGTTTGGGCACTGTAAGATTTTTCTTTTATTATTATTATTAATACTTTTATTCAGCAAAGATGCATTAAGTTGTGAAGTCGAAACATGATTATAGTCAAGCTCCTCAAATATACTGGCAGATTCGTAAAACAGATGTCTGCAATGAAGGAAAACACACACCAGAGGAGTTTCTCCCACATTAGGGAAGTGAAGTAGTGTCAGAGGTGTTAGATGGAGTTTATTCAAGTCTCTGTAAGCCTGATAAGGCCGTACATCAAGGAAATGAACCTTGTGCAAAGTCACACGTGATTCAGCAAAGTTACTTAGACAATTCTAAAGAAAAGTGATTCTGAATGAAAGCAATCAAGCAATATTTCTCAAGGTGGAAAAAGAGGAACTGTGTGTCATTTGCTTTGGTGACAGAAATGACACACTTCATCTTTAAAGCTGTAAATGATCTTGTGCTTTGTAGCAAGAGGAGTAAAGGGAAGTCAGGTCTATCTTAGTATACTTACGGATGCGCCTTCATCTCAATGTAGTTTTTAGGAATGAAACCGTCTTTGCCATTTAGTTCTGCCTTATACCAGTTCTGATCACATTCTTCATTTAATACCTGCCAATAAAAGAGAAGAAGATTAATATCGATTAAACATGACTTATTATCCTGCTGTAATTTTACATTATAGAATTATACTATAATTTGCATACAGGATTATTCTGTTACAGATAACAGGATCCTGCTGAATTATCACAAGCACACGAGTCATTTTAATCAAGACCGCTATCAAAAAATCTAAACATCAGACCAGCATTGGAGAGTTCAAACATCTGTGTGAAAGTGTAATGCAAGAGTAGTCAAGCTAACGCCCAGTACTAACCACCTGCATTCTGGTAATTTATCTTATTTTAGCATCACTACATGTGAAAATGGAAATAAAGTGTGGTTAGGTGTTGAAATTTGATTGGATGCTAAATGCTTATGTGGACTGAGGCTTTTTCAGTTTAGGTTTTAGAGAACCACCACTCTGATTAAAGGTGCAAAGTATTACATACTCACTTCCAGAGATCAGAAACTCATGCAAAATGCATGAAAAACAGTTTAATCTTTGTCTAGCTCTTAATTTAAAAAACAAAATGTGAAAATTAAAAGTTTTTTGTTAATGTCTATAAACAATGCTTTTGGAAAATATAAATTCTGAGAAAAAAAAAATCCACCAAGAAAAAGAAGTCATCTAAATGCAAAAACGCTTTTAAAAAAAAAGCTAAAAACACACACACATACACACACACACACAAAACCAGTAGGGCTGGGTGATATGGCAAAATAATAAAATCTTGATTTTTTTCAGAACGTTTGACCGTTTCTCAACTTGAAAGTGTAGTTAAAAAAAATTATATTCCAAGTGCACCACACATGAAGTTGTCAACATGATGTAAATGTTAAACAAATCACTTGTTAAATATCTTTGCAAAAAAGATGCTTGAACTACAATTACATCTTGTACAAACTTGTCTTAGGGTGTTTTCACACTTGGTCCTTTTCAGGGGTCTGAGCACGGTTCATGTGATTTTTGGCCCATGTGTGAACACTCCAAACGATCTCAGACCCCTCAGAAGCGAACTGAACCGAGACCATCTCGGGAGGTGGTCTGAGTATGGTTCGCTTTCGGCTAAAGGTACGGTTCGCTAAAAACGTGCATTGTGAACACAAATCGGCCCGGGCTCAATTGATTTTTCCATTTGCGAATTCCAATGTAGTTTGGCCATCAGATGTTTCCGTACAAATCAGCTGTTCATAGTGGCTGCTTCTTCTGGCAGATCTCTACAAATTGTTCGCTCACAACGTACACTCGTTTATTTTAATTTCAACCACTTCTAAACTGTGTAAGAGAGACGCAGCTGTGTGCCTTGCCAGTTTAAACTTTTTGATATGAGCTACAAGCGCGCACATCCCAGCGGGGGCTAAACTACACTCTTTAGCGTTTGTTTCAACTGTCAAAAACACCCATGGTTCACATAAACACAGTTGGTTTTGTCTCAATCGAATGTAAAAATCTGGGAAAGAAATTGCATGTGTAACTGATCTGTGCAGTATGTAGTTCTAGTACAGCAGCCTAATATGAGAATCAGTTGAATCTATTATTCATACGATTAATAATATGCATTTAAATTTTTTTTTCATTTGATTAGTATCTTACTTAAATGCTGCATTTAAGGATAGCTTAATGTGATGATTAAAATGAAAAAGGCTATGATTTAATTGGATAAATGAGCGCTGCACGTTTCAAAGTCTATCTTTATGTAGTTCTGAAAGCACCACCTGCTGGCAGAGAATGAATTTGCATTGTTTAACAGCCCTTCTGCTGGTTTAAAATAATAATTGATATTAAACCAGCCATTAAACCATTAATATAATAATTGATACATTTGATTTTTGACTCTTTTCTTAAAAATGGTTTGAAATTTGAAAGGCTGAAATTTGAAATTTTATTTCATTTTGTTTTTTTTTGTGAAAACCTGTATCTGAACTGTAAATCATGCTTTTTACAGTCATTTTAAAACATTGCCCCACCCCACTCATATGGCATTAATTTGATCTGTGCAGGTCTTAAAAACAGTCTTAAAAAGTCTTAAATTTGAGCTTAAAAATCCTGCAGAAACCCTGTGTGCTATAAAATAAACATGATGACATAGACAAGGAAAACAATTCAAAATAAATATTACAAAGGTGTACGAAACTTATATTTTTGTGCAAAGGATAAAGATATTCCAGTTTTGGAGGCTATAATGTCAGCCATCAAACACTGAACTGGACTAGATCCAAAAAGCAACAGTCTGAACACAAAGAGGTCTGAGACACCATTACTGCTTAAGTGGACCAAAAAAGGATCCGAGTCTTCTTTCAGGAACTGCGATAGTGTGAACACAAAGAAAACTGGGTCCTTTTTCACTTGGTCCATCTCTTGGTCCACTTAAAGGGGTCTGGGTTCTGGGTCTGGGCTTATACGTACATATTATATGTTCAGAAATAATACAAGGAAAATGCTTTTAAAAAATATCAAAAGTCAAGGTAATTCAAATTCAAAATGACAGAAGGTATAACACCAGTAGACTATTATTAACTAGGCTATAAATGTTCTGTAAAAACAATGAACCGCAGCTTTCAGCCTGATGTCACCATGATGCAAACATAAAATATCAGACATACAGTAGTAGTTCTTTACAGGTTTTCATTCGATTGCGCTGCTTTTCCATTGTTTTTTTTCTATGTAAATATAAATATGTTTGACTGTTGTGCTCGCGTCTCATGCATGAAACGGCATTCTAAAAACGCGGCGCACAAGTTAAAAGAAGTCCAACTCAACCCCCATCTTCCTGCATTTTTTCCTATTCCACTGTCCGCGTCGCATCTTTGTCAACACAAAAGCGCATTCTGTGTGAATGGCACCTAATGATATATTCTACTTATGGTCCTTCACAGAGCCCGTCACACGTGAGCGGTTAAGCACGACGTGCGCCAACATGCGGTTGGATCATTCTTTTCTTTTTACTGTTGTTAACATTGGCAAATTGTCAGAGTGTCTAATCCAAACGTTTGGTAATATTTCTATTCAAAATAGTGATTCCTCGATTTATAAAAAATAAAATCGTGGCAAAACACTAAATTCAAATTAATCGATAAAATCTGAAAAATCGGCCAGCACTAAAAAGGGTTAAATCTCTGTAATCGAATACTTTCCTATTAAGTTAAATGTAGATGAAAGCAATAGTAAACAAAAATCTAAAAACAGGAAGCAGGGCTGTACAGTGCGACATATATATCGTGCTCAGCTGCAGTTCTGGTGCCTCCGTTTCAATATACTGTACAATGCAACATACATTCACTTCAAATGTTAACTCCAAGATAGAGTTACACTCACGGGACACTGCACTTATTCACAATCACAAAAGTGCATTATTTGCATATGCTTTAAAGCCTTGCCGTTTAAACATTTAATTCACGTGCTGTTCTGACATGCGCTTTTTCGGAGCGCGTACACAGAGTGCACAGGAGCCTGTCAAACAGCGCCTGATTACTGTTGTCTTTCGAGTCAGATTGATTTTGCGTCTAATACGGTCAAAAACACACAAGGTTTACATATAAACACAGTTAGTTATGTCTGAAATGAAAGTAAACCATTGAGAGAGAAACGGATGCGTGCAGCTCTTAAAGCACTAAATATGGTTCAACAGAAGAAAGAATCTAATTTAGGTTTAAAACAACTTGAGAGTAAGTAAATGATGGCATAAAAATAAAACACTATGACAGAATTGACAGACAGATGACAGAATTTTCATTTTTGGGTGAAGTATTCTGTTAATGTTAATAAAAAAACAAAACAGAGAAAAATCACTCACTGCTCATGACTGATGAACTTTAATACAGTTGCTTTAAAAATGTATAATCGATGTATATAGTGTTTTATTTTAATATTTGTTCTTGCATTGTTTTATTTGTATATTATGTGTATTTGTAATGTATACCTTTGTTCTTATTTTCTAATAACAATGATAAAATAACGACAAAGATTTTTATCTTCACCCACTTTGGCCTAAATGTCTACCATTCTTTTTTATTTTATATTTTGTTACCTTAAAAGGCTTTTTTTACAATAGGGAAATTAGAAGTAAATAGTAAAACCAACATGACAAAGAATTGTGATGAAATCGTGATATTCCTGAAAAGAAATCGTGATATTATATTTTTGCCATATTGCCCACCCCTAACTGTTTGGCCTGTGCTACAAAATTTTCAACTTCTGTAGCACCAGTGCTATGTGCAAAAAACGTTAACGTACAGCTCTGGGAAGAATAAAGTTCCAATATGGCTGATAAATATCCAATATGGATAGACAGACTGTCAGGGCTGTCAATCAATAAAAAATTGTAATCGAATTAAATCACATCCTTTTTCTGTAGAAAATATCTAAAAACCAAAAATATTGGCTGACAGACATCCAATATGGAAAGATACTGATTTGTAGCATTTGGACCAATCAGACACACAATTATTCATTATATTTAATGAATAATCCAGCAAACCCCCTCACCCAAAAAAAGCAAACTATGTGTTACCATGGCAAGCAGTGACAAATGGCAGGTATCATACATTTAACCAAACGAAACAGAGGTTTAGGATAAGTTGTAGACGCCGTTGTAAAATAGGGTTTCACTCAGGTGGTTAACTGACTCATTTTCCATAGCTGCATTCTCTGGTTTCTCTTAACGGTTTCATTCATCCACTTTACCTCCCCTGTGTATGTATGTGTGAGAGTGTGTGTATGGTTGTTTAGACTAGTTATGTGCTAGTGTTTAGTTAATAAAACTTTTGTGCACAAATTACATTTCTGATTCTGTCACTGCTTGTAAATTGATGTCCCTTTTACAATCCGATCTTGTTACATGCTCTAATGTATAAATAATATAATTTTATAACGGATATAAATAATTTTAATTAATTGTAATTATTTAGATACAATTCCCTTTTGAGCTAATTTGCTACATATTTAATAATTAATATATATTTACATCAAATTAAATTATATTAAATCAGTATAAAATATAATCTTAGCT